AAAAGAACCAGCCTAGTATTGAACACCAAATCTCATTTTATCCCTATATCTGTTGCAATAGTTAAAACCATTAATTTTAAACTGTAAGATAAAATTAAACAGCCAGGATTTATGGAACTTATCTTTTTACAAATTTTCTTTTCTCCATCAAATGTTTTATTTTCCTTTTGTATTTTTGTGATGTTACTTATTTTAACTTGAGTTCACTACTAATAAGCAGTTCTTCACTCTGTCTCACTCTCTCTTTATTTATGAATTGATCAATCATTTAACAGATAAATAACATTGTATGGAAATTTTGTCCAATTCAGTTTAGGATCAAAAATGGCTGTGCCTTTACACATCGTAGGAAACTCCATTCCTCTATTGAATTTAGCTATAGTTCCGATACCAGTTTCTTTTTTATTTTATTCTGTTTTGTTTGATGCTGTGAAATTTCAGTTTAAGGAAGTTCTGAAACTCTCTTGTATTCTAACAAATGGCCTGTGACAGCATGTTACCTGCAACAAACAGGAACTATCAATGTCATAGGTATGTTATGCAAGAAATATTAGTTCTGGTGCCAGAACTTTTTTTACACTACAAATGTCAAGTATTCAGTTTGTTAAATTTCATATGCATTTTTCAAACAAAAGCACATACCAAAGCTAACATTCCTCAAGTCAATAAATGTTGATAGTATGCTGTATATATATAAATATATCTATTGTTGTGACATATAGAAAACTATCTGTCTTATGTGTTTTAAGGCTTCTTGTCGAATATTATTCAGATTTTTGTATATACTGTCATAGATGTGAATTTAAATCTAGATCCAGTGTGCTTTCAATCCTGCATCTGACGCCTGTAATCATAATTTGTTTGTATAGTTTAGATTGTGCACCTCTATCATAAATTATTTCAGACACATTGTGACAAATCACACAAGTTCTCCAAATATACTTTTGGCTGTGCCATAATAAAATGACTTGGTGTTCTGGTTTGTCAACCCCTTAAAACAAAAATGACAGCATTTTCTTTTCCTTTTTAATTTCTTTTTTAAGCACTCACTTATTTAATAGTTCTGTGTACAAGTGAGGACTTTGTAACTTACCATACCACAAAGACCTCTCTTGTACACAAGTAGTCTTTATTAATAGATTCCTTGTATTATTGATAGTAAGGTGAAAATAGAATGCACCTCTTAATCTGACTGGACAAAAATCCAAGGTAAAATAATGACATGAAATTCTTGTTAAACACACCCAGAACCATATTTTGCTAAACTTTAGCTTTCTTTGTGTTTATTAGAGACTCCTCACTGGTGTTACAGCTATTTGTGATGTATTTATGTAAAACCAAATTGACATTCTAGCTTCATCTCTATTGCAAACTTAATAAATACATAATAAAAAGCAAAATCTACAGAATGTTTTCGTAACAAGCATCCTTTCACAACAACATAGATTTTAACATTGACTCAGTATCAGTATTGCAATTGACAATATGCTTGACTGAGCGATTTCATAGCTGCTTTTAAACACTAGGAAGGAGTAGCTCGAGAGATTGCCGTGATCACGGAGATGGATTACCTACCGCTCATGCAAAACCGGTCCAAGAAAGAAGGGCAGGATCAATGTTGGCAATATAAGCAGCTGGCCGGAACATTTTGTCATTAACTTATGTGTTCAACAGGAATTAGATGTACCGCACTGCTGCTAACCACTGCTCCTCAGCTCGTCTGTGGCCGAGCGGCTATACTCCTTTCCCCTCATCTCTCTCTACCCCGTGCTGTCCGTTGGGGGCGGCACTACTCCCTGCTCGCAGGGCCTCCGGGCGCTCAGGGTAGGTTGTCATCACCACACACCTGCTTGGCGGGTTGGCCTACCCAATGCGTCGTAGGCGCCATCGGTAGACGTCCCTGTTTGTAGCTACACGATTGTAGCTACATCCGACAGAGCCCCAGGAAAGCATTGCCTACCCTCCAGGGCGTTTTCAGCGACAGTCATCGAACCACGCCTAGATTGACACGGCGTCACTTCTTCGCTTTAGAAAGGATTTATGAGCCTATGGGGTCAAAAGGAGACTAAACCAAAAGTCCCCGCCACTACAGACACATTAGAGAGAAGCCGTGGCCTACATCGCAGGCGTCCAAGCGACAACTCGTGTCGCGGCGACAAGTCTTGGTAGACACGTCCCTGTTTATGGACACAAAAATGTGGTCACAAATGGGGCAACAAACGATGTCCGACGCCACCAGCCACACGCCACTTTTGTAGCTAAACAGTTGTAGCTACAATCGAGATGGCCGCATGCAGCTTCATCCGAACCAAAATTGTCGGCCCTAAGATCAACTTCCGGGCGGGGAAAATTTTTTCTTTGTCGCTGTTTATCTCCCGTTGGGCAGGACCGAGCTCAGACCTCGATCCCGGAGGGGCAAGCTGGTAGCCGAGCTGGCAGATCGTGGGGACGTTGGGGGCTGTCAAAAAAAGATACGGTTTGGCCGACCGACCGACCGACCGACCGTCAACCTCAGAACGACCAGGACGACTGAAATATCGTGTTTGGGGGTTTTCTCTGAGTCCAAATTTGGTAGTGCCGATGTCGTCCGGGCCCCCGGTGACGTCATTGGGGACCTCCCGAGCACGCCGATGACACTCCCACGACAAATACGATTCGGCTCAAAACGTCGTTATGGGCTGGTGCATATTTCTTTAAAGTCGCCAAATATAATTATTATTAATAGCAAATCGCCCATCATAGTTTATTATCCTGATCATTTCATTATTGTCACATGGCACTTCCCTGGCGTTGCCGCTTTGGAGCCACACAACGATGCACGGGACGGGAAGCATCCCCAAAGGATCACATCCTGGACAAGCGAGGATTGCCTAACCCCAGGAAAGAATCACACCCCTCTCCTCCTCCCCCACCCCGCATTTCCCGTGATGGAAACGTAAACAAACAGTGTGTCACGATCGGCGTTTCTGCCAAATACCGATAATACCTACTCATATAATTGATGATCATAGGATCTTAATCAGAATTTAAGAGTGGACATCGCCGCTTTTCGATATTAATCGCAAAGTATAGTGCTTGATTGTTTCCGGCCCGGAATATTGAATTGTTCCATTCCGGTTATTGTTGTAGGAGGTTAGTGTTCTCCTGTGGCTCAATGTTATTTCCTGGCACAATTAAGTTGTAAGTTATTTTTTGAGGACAAGTAAATGATGCCCGTGATCTAAATAACTTGGCTCACTGTCAGCTTTGTTGAAAAGTCGTGAATGGGTACACTCCTCCAATCGATGCAGTATGTGAAATACTGTTGTAGGTCACTTATTAGGCAAATGGGTGAACTGCCAGTCGTGTTTTATCGCATATCATATATTTTACTCTATATTATTCTTGTGGAACAGAAAACTTTATTACTTTCTGGTTGGGGTGCAAACCGAGTGGTACTATTTGCGTAATCCCCCAAACAATCAATGTTTGATTAATTGTTTGATTAATTATATGTAATTAATAGTAGATGAGCGCTAAAAGTACCGTTTAATATGATTGCAGGAACTCGGCCCAGAAATGTTCTTGACATATGACCAAGAGAAGTCTATGGAGTCATTTTACCCAAAAGAATAGGTGAGTTCACATGACAGTAACGGCCAAAGCTGGTCCAATTTGTCTCTGTACAGACACTATGAGGAGCTTCCTTTCGTATGCATCAAAGGATGGTTTTTGATGTTTTTTGTGGTGCCTTGGTTCTTTGTTGTTGATTTCAATCCTCCTCTGTCAAAATCCAGGCTGATTTGTTATCACTGAAAATGTCTTAAAAATCTTGGCAATTTGGAAAATTGCTGGAATTGGTTTGGATTGGTGAGGCAGACTCCCTTTTCACATGCTCTGTCTAAATATCATGGTGCCGACCCACTTCAGAAGAGTTCTTAGCCAGTGCGCCTTAGGTAGCCTACCCGCCCTTAGTTAGAGAGACCAGCTCTTATAAAACTCAAGTTTCTATGGACACGGGGTGGTTTTTGACAGAAACAAAGGTAGTTTTGTGGTGCCTGGTTCACCCCTGGCGATTTGAATACTCCTTCATCGAAATCCGGACCCATCAATTTATAGCATTTGTAAATTTTGCCAAAACTGAAAAAAATTGAAAATCCCTCGAAATGGTTGGGAGTGGTCCGAAAGCACCCCATTTCAATCTCTCCGTCGAAATTTCGCGCCGCCGGTCCATTTTACGCCTGTTTACTGGTTCTCCTGCGAGGTAGGCAGCCCATCGTACGCTGCCTGCCAGATTCAAAAGACCACCCCTTAAAACTCAAGTTTCTGTGGACAGGGGTGGTTTCTGGCGGAAACAAACGTAGTTTTGTGGTTCCCTGGTTCACCCCTGTCAATTCGACTACTTTTCCGTCGAAATCCGGACCCATCAATTTCCTTTTAAAGAATAAAGGCCTTTGTAAATTTGGCCCAAAATGACAAAATTTGAAATCGCTGGAAATAGTTGGGATTGGTCGGACTGAATCCTTTTAAAATCTCTGCGTCGAAGTTTCACGCCGCCAGGCCATTTTAAGTGAGATACGCCTGTTTTTGGACCGGTTCGCCTGCGAGGTAGGCAGCCCATCGTACGCTGACCGCCAGATTCTAAAGACCACCCCTTAAAACTCAAGTTTCTCTGGACAGGGGTGGTTTCTGACGGAACCAAAAGTAGTTTTGTGGTCCCCTGGGTCGACCCTGTCGATTCGACTACTTTTCCGTCGAAATCCGGACCCATCAATTTTCGCTAAAAACACAAAGGCTATAGCCTTTGTATATTTTGCCAAAAATTAAAAAATTAAAAATCGCTGGAAATGATTTGAACTGGTCTAGAAGAGTCGCCTTTGACCTTCTCTGTCGAAATTGCGTGCTTCCTGGCTCTTTTACATCATGTTTCTTCGACTAAAACTGCCTCTTTGGTTTGTCGCAGGAAGATCGGCCTGGAAGCGTTTCTGTATGGACATCAGCCGTGCAGCCCATGGAATCATCAGATATAAGTTGAGTTGGCGTCACAGTGATGACCGTTGGTCCAGTAATTTTTTTTACCCCCTCTGTAAATTCATTCACCACCCACATTGTGGAAGGGTCTAGCGGAGCCGTTCCGCTCAACGCTGTGGAGTCAGCGGACCCCTTGCATGGGGACGATACGTGCAACGCGTGACCTCACTGCGTCAATGAGGGGGCTGGACGTGTCGCCCTAAGCCGTCCAAAAAACCTCCCCTCCCCCTGCCCTCCTCCCGGCTGCGGCTGCTGTGGAGGTAGTAGCGGGGTGCCGCCGCTACCGTAGTGACGTCACGGGCGTCTTGGGTGCTGCAGCGGGGGCTGTGGGGGTAGTAGTAGTAGTAAATCTACTGCTGCCTCCACGGCTCCACGACAGCTGCATCCGAGTCGCCCGTGACGTCACTGCTGTAGTGGTGGCAGTCTGCTACTACATCCACAGTTACCACAGCTTTTAACTAATTAGGTGTATGAAATGAAGGAAAATGTCAGACGTAGTCATTTTTTATTCTTTATTGTTTCAAATCATTTACATCATAAAAGTAAGTCTTCCTCAAGTAGCTGGCTTGTTTCTGCTGGTGACTTGGGGTGAATCTGAATACCTGAAAAAGAAAGAAAAAAATCTAAGTTAAATTCAAATTATCAGAGTTCAACTCAAACGTTTTCTGGTCCATATGGTATCACGGTGACGCCAGCTCATCGAATGAACTTTCTATGTTACAGGTGGTAAGCATCAAGTCCAGGCCCAGGCACATCCCTTTGGATAAGAAGCAACATCACTTCCTATTTTACTACAACTGTACCATACAAATGAAATAAATAGCAGCATTACTGTCAAAGATTAATAATGATTTGCCACCAGTTCCGCACTAAAATTAGAACACAGCTGTATATTTTAGGCACAAGTAATAAGCCGTATATATGGAGTGAGAATAAGCAGTAAAGAAATGGCAAGTAACCCACAAATAGAAACAATACCAAAATAAACTTTTACCAGACATGACTACCATAAAAGTACTGGTATTTTAAGTTAACATCCCATTGAAAGTCAAAACTTACCAGATTCATTCCTGCGATCATGAGAAAAAGGAGCGATTCCTCCTGCTG